CAGGCGGTCTAGGCTCAGGAGCCACCTTGGCATTGTGTTGTGCGTGGCAAGGGCAGGGGAGAGGCTGTGGCACTCAGTCATGCTGCTGTCTCTGGAGAGCTGTGTCAGGGCAGCCCTGGTATCAGTTGGGCTCTACTGCCTGATGCCCATCCCCACGTGTTCCAGCTACGCCTGGCTCTACCAGGTGTCTTTCTAGTAGAATGTCAATACTGCAAAGCCCCAGCACCTGAAGCGGGGAAATGGCTGAGCAGGCAGAACAGGGAAGTGCCCATGCTGCTCTCATGCAGCTGGCTGGGAGGTTGTTCTTGGGAGCCATCCCTGTGCCTGGCCCATCAGATTGGCTTTTCACCCTTTGGGGGAAGGCAGCCAAAGACAAACCCCTCTCATCAGACATCCCATCCCCACTGCAGTAACTGCCTTGGCATCTCTACTTGTGCAGAGCATTGAGAGAGACCAGAGAGCCAGGGACCAGGAGCAAAAGAACCTGGAGAACTTTGAACCTAATGACCTCAACTATGAAGAGCAGCTCCAAGATGACAAGTTCCTGTACAGCGGCATCTCCTTCAACCTGCTGGCAGATTCTGGTGAGGCCCTTTTGGGGTGGAGATTGGACAATTAAATGCAGCAGCATCTTGGAGCGATGCCAAAGTCTTCTGGCCTGGGTTAAAGGCACATGGGTTCCAGGGTGCGAGGGATGCTCCCATGGGAGCCTGGGGAATGTGTCCCACTGAGCTCCACTGCTGGGGTGGGACTGGTGGTCGCTCCCTGTTTGTTTTTTGCTCCAGGGAGCAGGTTTGGCCTGTCTGGACACTGTCACCTGCAAACGCACAGCACCCCTTGCTGGGTGTGCGGGGTGTTGGACTCATTCCCTTTGCCACCACTGCTATAGAGGTGGGTTTTAGCCAGTGCTGGGTGTTCTGGCCCTGGAGGAGAGGATCGCACACACCTGGTGCCTGCGTGACCACTGCATGCCTTGGTGTTTAGCACAGTCCAAGTGCCTGGATGAGGCCCTGGCCTTGTGGAAGACGCTCCTGGCCAAGACGGGAGTCCCAGCTGTGCGCAGTGCTGAGCAGACCGTGGCCTCCCTGCACATCATGGCAGCGCTGTACAGAATGATGGCAAAGGTACTGGGAGATTGGGCCCTGGCCAGCTAGGGGAGGTGGCTGCCTTGTGGCATTAAGATGTTCATGCTGAACAGCCTCTACGTGCATGAGGGCTTGAGTAGGACCAGCCTAGGTCATTTCTGCACTAGCTGTGCCAAAGTTACTGGATCTGTCTCACTGGCCTGTGGTCTTGGGTGACCCTTCATGTTTTCATCAAACACCTGTGCTGCCCTAGCCAAGGGCTAGCTTGTGGGCTCTGCACTTGGTGCCCCCGACATGCTCAGCGATTGGTTTCTGTTGATCTTTCCTCCTCCCTAGAGTAGGACCATCGCCTGGCACCCACAGGAAGTGCTGCTGTGGATCTGGTCTCATCTACCTGCAGCATGTATTTGCGAAAAGTGTCCCCCCGTTATAGACATCTCTTCGGTTCTTGGCCATGGGGGTTTCATTCCTGACCCTCTTCCTTCAGTGGCTGGCTCATGCCCTGGAGCGTGAGGATTTTACCCTTTCATGTCCCCCTGCTGTAACTGAGGGGGTAGGGGTGTTTGAATGTTGGTCACGTTTTCTAAAGCCATTGTGACGCTCAATGGGAGCCTGCTGGCTGACCCCCTCTAGCAATCACTGTTTGTATCTAGCTCTCAGGCGCCTCTTTAAACAGTCCTTGTCGCTTCTGCTGTGACACCCTGTGACCCTCTGTCCGGGTACTTAGACGCTGCTATAGCAGTGAGGGCTGTCTCCCCTTCCCCCCATCACCACCCCCTCCCATTTCTGCCCTGGAAGGTCGTGTAACTATTACATGGCTGCCGGAGGTGGGTGAAGTGGCTTTAAAGTGTGCGGGGCTTGTCTAGGGTGAGCTCCTGTAGAGAGAGGGTGTGTTTCCCTGTCCACAGCCCCTGCAGTCCATGGAAAGCTATCTCCTGATCAGAACACTCTGCAGTGGCCTCGGTGACTGGCTTGGGACCGGCAGCGCCTTGTGTCAAGTGACTAAACTATTGTTCCAGTTGGAGTGTCCCAGCGAGGCGAAGGCAAGTGTCCGCACTAGGGCAGTGCTGTAAGGTGACTTGTAGCCGGGGCTATCAAGGCGGAGTCCACCAGGGCTTACGTGGGGGTCAGTCCTTGAGCTCGGGCTGGGCCAGAAGAGCATCCTAGCACTCTTGCATTTTGTTTTAGTGGCACCCTTTATGCAGCAGCAGCTTTCACGCCCCATGCGCGAGGTCACACTGGCAGGGTTTGTTCCACTGCTACTGGAAACAAAAGGGGTCCAGGCCAATTAAGCAGGTCCCAGAAGGGTCCTTGGCAGAAAAGTTTGGGAACAGCTGACACGCAGGATGATGGTGCCATTCTCTAGCAGGGTGGGGACACTGACGCAGCTGCTGTGCTCTGAGCTGAGGCGCCTAGAGGGCCGTACAACTGGTAGGCCAGACTCTTTTCAGCTTTCCTGTGCAGTGCTGCTGTCCAGGGCTGTGAAGGAAAGCTGAGGGCATGGAGTCCAGTGGAGGAGCCAGTTTCTAATACGATCCTAATCTTCCAGTTTTAGGGGCTTTGTGCCTCTTAAGATTGTGACTGTAACTGAGCGGAATTCAGCTATTCCCATTAGCCCGGCCTGCCCGTGCCTCATTTGGCTTCTCCTTTCAGAGCTTTCTGGAAGAAGCAGAGTCCTGCCTGCTGCGAAATGCTGATTGCAGCAGTGACTCCTACGTGCTGCTGAAGCAAACCTGCCTTGTGCTCCGCAGCCAGCTGTGCTGTGTAAACCACGAGGTAACCAGCCCTGCAACTTTCCAGTCCCTTTTTATCAAGACTGAGCTGTCCAGAAATATTAATGTGACCATAAAACGTGGGTCTTCTGGAGCTAGTTGGAAAACAGGCCGCCTCCCACCCACAGAAAAAACTGTATTTTTAGCTGTAATAGTTGGATTTTGAAATGTACATTATGGGTGTTGTAGTCTGGGTACATTAAGCTCCCGTTGTCCCATAGGTAGAGCCCTGTGACTCCACAGGTATCTGAGGTTCAGATACAGACGTAGTAGTGGAAGACATGGCTGTTTGAATGAGCCCGTTCTTGAACTGTCCCCTCACACTTCTGTTTCTCCTCTCCAGTCTGTTCCATAGATTACACCTACTTGAATCAAACTGTAAGGCTGGACAGATCAGTCTCGTCTCCATAGGAACTCTGGCCTCCAGATCACTGTACCCTCAGTCGTCCTCCTTCTCTCCTACAGGTTGAAGAAGGCCTTGTCCTGTTGCTAGAGGTCCTCCAACACCCAGCGCTGCAGAAGACAGCCAAGGTTTGGTACCTGCTCCGAGCCCATGTCCTCCAGCTGACGGCCATGTATCTCAGCCTACCTCCAACCAGCCTTTCGGCTGAACTCAGGCAACAGCTCTGGGCTCAGGGTGAGTACGGGGACCTGGGAAAACCCCTTAGCAGTGTGGGAGGTGTACTGATGGCCGTGGGGCTTTGGGTATATACTGGGTGGCATAAGCCACCCCAGTGTCTGCCATGGTAGCATAGGAATCTGGAGATCTGGCTTTCACCTGCCTGCCAGTGATGACACCCCCTCTCCTCCCCCCCCAGTCCACAGCATTAGTGACCTGCTAAACTTGGGCACTTTTCTTACCGCAAGTGTGGCAAATGTCTCTTCTCCCCCCTTACTGTGTGGGTGGCCGCAATCTACCGATTGCTCCCATGAGGAGTAAGGGAAGCTGATGGGAGCGTATCCCCTATCGACCTCCCACTGTGGAGACTGCACCAAGCTCGGTCTAAGGTACATCGACTTACTATGTTTTTGCAAGGCTGGAGTTGCTTACCTTAAGCCGACCTTACCCCCGCAGCCATAGCCTCTCATGTACCAACGGTGGATCGAGTCCTATGGCCATCTGCAGTGGTGACCAGCGCCAAGTCAGCGCTCCCATGGCATGCTTTGCCGACTTATGGTAGGGGGGATTGCTTCTGGACCCACGCTATGACTTCTATGAGCATCTCTGCAGATGCTGCTGCTCAAAATGTCCCTCATTCAAAAGATCATTGCCTGCTTGCGTCTGTCTTGTCCCACCGTCCTTCCAGACGAGATGGCGGGGGAGCAATACTGGAATTGGCGTGCTTTGTCAGTTCTGCTGGGGTTTCTCCAGATATCTGGTGTCGTGCCAAGCACGAGGGATGTGAATGGTTAAGTGGTCAGTCTCACTGTTAACCTTTCATCAGTTGACTTTGTTAACCAATTCAAAGGGATTTTACATCTCTACTGAGCACTCCACTGAATGGTGCAGAGGGAGTGGTTGGCGTCCTGCAAGGATAGCAGGTCATGCTAATGTTCGTGTACGCACGTGCTTTCCCATGTGCAGGATGGAAAACCCCTGAGACTGCTTTGGCTGATGCCCACAAACTCTTCCGCAGCATCCTCCTCCTCCTGATGGGCGGTGACTTGCTGTCCTCACCCAAAGCTGCTCCAGAGACTCAGTTTGTGGATCATGGTAAGCTGTGTATATGCACAGACAGTCTAACAGCCCTGGCTAAGAGAAGGCTCCCTGTCCTCATCAGCTCTTACTTCTGCGTGTGGGGGGAAATCAAGGAGGCTGGTTTTTCAAATTGTGCTCTTTGGCATCTGCGCAGGGAAAAGTCCGCTTGATCTGTTTTAATCTAACTCTTCACCCTTAGTGGCAGCAGGCCTTGTGTCTCCTCCTAGGAGGAGGCAAGTCTTTAAGCATCTTCTTACAACAGTCTGCTGTCCAGGGACAAGTGCCCAGAGGGCACGGAAGTGAGTGACCAAAGGGGCAGGGGGTGAAATACCCATGAACACTGAGTTGGGGGAATCCTAGCTGTTGTGCCAGAGACATGGAACCTGCCACCATGGCATCTAGCTGGCAGCTGATGCCACAAATCCTTCAGTATCAATGGAAGTGACTCTACACTGGAGTGTCAACCTCTGTGTGACCCACCCTCTCCAGCAGAGCTGTGGTGCAGAACGTCTTGTGGCTTGCCCTTAGTTTTGTAGGCACAGTGAAGAGAGAGGCTCCCTGTTCACTTGTCCCCTTCTCGTGCAGGAGAAAATCTCCTGCAGAAATGGCAGGTGCTGGCTGACATGCTGGTCTGCTCGGAGAAGCTCGTTGCCCTCTTCAGCCAAGTGGAGACGGTGTGCGAAGCCAAAGCTTTCTGCCTGGAAGCCCTCAAACTCACCATGAAGCTGCAGGCCATTCGATGGTAAGGGGCTTACTAGGAAAGGCTCCTTCACCGGGCACAACACGCTCATTTCAATGGGGAGGGACTGTGTGCATGGAGAGAGGGGCATGC